AGAGCGGGCCGGGCGGCGGGGGGCCCACTGGGGGCGGACAGAGCCTGCCTGCTGGGCGGTCACTGGGGGCCCCGCTGGAGGCTGGCTGGGTGCCTGCCCTGCAGGGAAGGACGCCACCAGAGCGTTTGTGACCGGGGACTTCAGCCCGACGGGCCTGGTGGATGACGTCTCTGAGCTGTCGCCGCTGGAGATGCTCACCCTCCAGAGCTGGCTCTCCTTCTACAGCAGCAACTACGTTTTTGTGGGTAGGTGCTCGGTCTGGCACTGCGTGCGGACGGTCGCAGGCCCGGTGCGGCCTGGCTTAGGGTGTCCTTTGCCACGCTCTTGGTGCTGCTGGGAGCTGGTTCTGCACAGGAGTGTCCTGCAGTGGGATCGGACTACCTTCTACCCCGACACCGTGTCAAGGAAGCGTCTTAGAAGCGTGGCGTTTTAATTCGGCGGCCACATGCAATGCAAACCTATGGGGAGTAGAGAGGGTGGCGTGCTGGGTGGGAGAGGGTACCTGCAGCGTGCCATTGAAAGGCGGGGGGAATACAGTGCCACAGAGCGTTAGATTTCCCCTAGGGCACATATATCCACCTTGGTGATGGTTCTTTACATGTGCTGCAATGGTCCAGGTGACCTTTGGAGACCTGCATGCTTCTTAAACGTGTGAGTGATTACCTGCAGATGCTGGCTCTGCTCATGGCAAACAGCTTTTAAATGAGACCTGTGGGTGTAGTTTGAGATCTGCTTTCCTCTAAGTCAAAGCCTGCTCAACAGTTTCCTTGCCCTGAGCTGTCAGCTACAGCTCACTGCCCTGCTTCTGTTTGTCTCTGCTAAGCAAAAGCCATGGAGCCAGTGTTGCAAGTATTGAAATTAGCGGAACTCAAAGGACTGTGCAGGAGCAGCAGTGCAGGGAGAATATTTTTGGCAATGAGATGCATGTGTTGGAAAGACTTCTGGGTTCTGCAGCTGAAAGTGCCATTGACTTTGTGATCTTTACTGAGTCATTAGCGTGTGCTTGTGCCTGAGCTTGTCCTACATGGTTTTATTAAAAGGGATGTGATCCAAGATCCGTGTGATCCAAGAATGGAAGGGACGCAAGCTCAACTGTGTTTTCAAACTGGCGCACGGCAAAGATCCTCTGGAAGAGTTCTGCTTCTTTGCCTTTAAATAACAAATGAAAAAAAAAAAAAGAAAAGGCAGAACTGTTCATTTTCCTTGCATGGAAACGCTGCAGTCCTAGTTGATCTCTTTCCTCTCTCCAAGGGAAGCTGGTGGGCAGATTCTATGATGAAAATGGAGCACCGACAGAAGCCTTAAGGCAGGCTGAGGCTGCTATTGAGGAAGGCCTGAAGTTCAAGGCAGAAAGCGACCAGAGGAAGCAGCAGTTCCCACCGTGTAACTCCGAATGGAGCTCTGCTGGGGGCAGCCGATTCTGGTGCTCCAAACAGAGGTAAGCTCTGCCTTCCTACTGTTATACTTGGACCCTTTGGAGCAGAGCACTTCTGCCTTTTGAATTTGATTGCAATGAGCTTTGTGGCAGGAGTGGCATAGGAAGGGGTCCTGGCTCCTCAGCCACTGTACATCACCCTTTGTAACTGAGGTCTGTTTACTTCTCCGCAGAAAGGCATAGATTGGTGTTAAGGTGCTGAGGGCTGACGTGGCTGAAATGTGGCAGGCAGGTTCCCTTCTCTTCTCTGTGATCTTGGGGCTGTGCTTTCAGACAGAGGCAGAGCCAAACTGCAAGGAGCAGTGGTCACGTTTTCTGCTGTGGCAGGATCAGCTGCTGCCACTGGGTGAATTGGAGTGTCTGGATTTTCTCTACCGGTTCAGCTACTGCTGACGGCCTCATCCCAGGCTGGAGCTGCAGAAAAGTTCTCCAGTGTGAGACACGTTCTTCAGCGCACGTGTGCACGTTCTCCAGTGTGAGACAGCAGAGGGGAGTGCTGCTCAATGACCTATGCTCACTGATGAGTTCAATGACCTATGCTCGATGATGAGATAAAGTTTCATCATGATCAGTGAAACTTCTAGGAATGGTATTTCTGAGGCAACAGCTCTTCTGTCACACGGGAATCAAAATCAGGGTTCAGAAGTTGCCACAGATGCATGTGATCCTCCTGTCCTCAAGAAAACAGGACAGAAATCCCACTAGGACTGTCTGCTGCCTCTGAGCAGGGTTTCTCACCTGTCCTGAATCCAAGGATCAGCTGGTCTTCCTCCAGGAGACTTCACAGCCTATTTCATTTCTATACCATTTTCATTTAAAACCACATAAAAATGAGGTTAAAAGCTTTGAATAGTCATTTCCTACTTGGACTGTTTAGTTGTGTGCATCTCTTGGCTTAGGGACTATTTTGTTTTAAACTGAAATCATTTTGTGGACCATGTTGTGAGATGCTTGGGCTTCATTTGAGTATGTCACTAGCACCATGGATATCAGGAAATCTGCTTCTATGCTTGAGCGAGCTAGGGTGCCGTCTTGGGACTGGATGTTGGGTGGTGGCCTTTCGTGTAAAAGGTTACAGGCATAAGAAAAGATGCAGTAGTTATGGGAACAGGTGGGATTTGGCCCCTTAAGAGACATTATGAAATAACTGCAGAAGTAATTGATGCTTTTTTTTTTTCCTTTCTCAAAAGCACTGCATTGGGTTATGGCACATACGGCGGCATGCGTTATCGATGAGCAATTAGCCACCCAGAAACAGGCATCTTGCCTTTAGGCAAGCTGTGCTCTGTAGGGCTATGATTCTTCTTCCAGCAATAGAAACGGTGGAAATGGAAGTTAGCTGCTCCCAGGAGGGTGAGAGCATGTAGCAGCACTGATGAGACCAGCTCCAGGCCACAGGTTTTGGAAGCACAGCCAACAAAAGGGCATCAGAAAGCTGTGGGATGTTGGCTGTTAGGAGTGAATTCTACCTCAGTGTGCGTGTTAGTTCTGACTTTCCTGGACTGTTTTGCTTTGTAGCTACATGAGTCTGTATTCAGTGGAAGCGCTTTCCCAGTTTTGAGCTGGCCAGCTGAATTGCGTTTGGTTTGGTTTTTTCATTCTTAGTGGAGGCGTAAACAGAGACTGGATTGGAGTCCCCCGGAAACTGTACATTCCTGGTTCAAGGGGGAGCCACTGCGTGTGTGTGAGACCTACTGGTCCCCCGTCTGGACAGCTGGACTCACCTGAGCACCGTGACAGAGGCGATCTGGATAACCCTCACCTGGAGGAATACAAAGGCTGCCATCCGCTGGCCGAGTGGTGTGTCCTGAAAACATGACTCTGAGCGCTGGATATGTGTGCCTAGTCCTACAGCGAACTGTTGCACTTTGGGTGGACAATTGCAGCTCCTGCTGCGTTCCCTTCCATCTGTCAGTGCAAAGGGAGAGAGCAATTTCAAGTCCTTTGTACCTGTTTTCTAATATATGACAATGGAGCTGAGAGAAAGAGGGAATATTTTTAGCCAAGTGATGCAGTTAGCGGCTAAAAAAAATCAGCAATGGGAAACTTTTTTTCTTAGCGCTCTATCCCTATGGTATTTTTACATCTGGCAACAAATTGTAGGATATGTAGCCTGAACGAGATTTAAAAATTGATTTCTTTTGCAGTCAGGAAATAGATGCCTGTGTGCATAGTGGTGGGCGTAACGTGTTGTATTTTCAGGAACTGAGTTGGTGAGCGCAAGAACTGCTGCAGCATCACTGACTTTGGTTTATGCACAGTCCTCCACTGTCACTCAAACGCTGCTTACTACATGGTAGTGCTAATGCTCCTTCCTAATCACCTGCTTTGCTCCAAAGAGTTTAAAGGTAGCAGGGGAGAAGCCTGAATTTCTCCTGCAACGAAGGTTCAGAGTAGCTAGGATCTCGTGTAGTTTAGTTATACAAAAGCTTGGCTTATCGGATTCTCAGAATACAGAAGGCAAAGGTCAGAGCTGCGTTTCCTCATCTGGTATTTGTATTAGATGGTGAGCAAAGAAGATAATCAGAAGGTATCTATGCAGATTGTTGTTGTAAACTAACCTCACCCTCCTGGTCCTCTGATTTACTACTTTCAAATGACTCAGAGGTCAGAATTGATGGTTTGAATTAGACAGTAAGGAAAGCTATGTAACAACATGACTATCCCACTGTAATCGCCCTCTTTCCAGTCTGGTTTATGACATCTCCCCACCCTATACATGTCCCTCAGACCATAACCTGAGGCTGATGTATCCCCAGCTCACTTAAAGGCTGTATGTATTTTATCACAGCTGGCAAAATCCAGTACCTTAAATGACTCCTGCAAGAGCAAGGCAAGTTACTACCATTTCTGTGCAGGACTAAAAAGGACAAGGGAATACCAGAGTAGGGCCCGGGTACTGTAAACCCAGGCTGCAACCGGGCTTCTACTGCTTTTCTACAGTCTGCTACTAAACTAGATTACATGTAGGCCAGCAACGGCCCAGTTCTGTGCTGAGCTGCGTTCAGTTCCTTTTCTTAAACCACCGCCACCTATTTATAAATAACTGGGAGATATTTATAAAGCCATTATGAGTTTGAGCTATTTCTACCTCTCCTCCCTTGAAAAAATACCCACAAATCTAAGCATTTAGTTAATAAGCTAGTGAGATTACAAAAGGCCTGACAACATCGCTTCAGAGTGAAAAACAATCATTTATTGCAGTGACAAATGTGTTTAGAAAGATGAGGCTACAACGGCCTTGGTCCAGGGCCATGCAGCAGTTTAAACGTGTATGTGCTTAATGGAATTTTTTTTTTTTAAACTTGGTTCTGCAGTTTCTTTTTTATCATCATCTCTAAGTTGTACTATGGAGAAGTCCTCTAAGGCAGTTACAAGCACGTGTGCCAGGTCTCGCCTGCCATGACTGGAAGCTGTACAAGTAGATTTTTACCGCAAATTCCAGATTATCAAATACAAAAAGAATAATTTGTAACTGTAGAACACTTGGATTTCTAGTGAAGCTTGGTATTAGCTGCATAGCTTCTAAGCAAGTTTCATCTTGCTGTATGCTAAAGAACGCTCTT